TTGCGGTTTGTTTCCCGCCCTATGGTTTTCGGGTGCGGCGCCCCCCCCAGGGCCCCCGGAAGGGGGTCCCCACCCCCCTACCCCACCCGTCGGGCGGCCGCCGCGGCCCCGCGGGGGCCCGGGCCGCCGCGGCCCCCGGTGTAGCGTTTGGGGGGGGGCGACTGGCGACGGCAAAAATGCAAGCCCCGCCCCTGGCCACTGTTTTAAGTACCAGCGAAAAAGAATTCTTCGTGGAGCTCTCCGCGAGCTTCGCTTGCCTCCATGCTGCTGCGCTTGGCTGTTGCTGCCGCGCTGTTCGTCAGCGCAGAGGGCCTGCTCGGCTCGGTGGCGCGGGCGACGGCGCCCGCCGCCGCGTGCTCGCGCGCCGACCTCGCGATGCGCGTCTTCGACTGGAAGACGCGCGGCTCCGAGGCGCCCACGCTCGAGGGGCTCGACCTGGGCTCGCTCTCAAAGTCGCCTGGCTCGGCGGTGAGGACCCGCCCCGGGGCCACCCCTCCCGAAGCGCCCGCGGCCGCGCCACCCGCCCTCCGCCCCCAGTCCGCCCTCCGGCCTGCGCCCTTGACCCGCGCTGCCGCCGCCCCCCGCAGCACCGCGCGGCGCGCAAGGGTCGCGGCATTTCGGCGGGGCAGGGCGCGACGTGCGGCTTCGGCACCCGTGGCCAAAAGTCGCGCAGCGGCCACTCCACCCGCCCCGGCTTTGAGGGCGGCCAGATCCCGCTCTACCGCCGGCGAGCCCCGCCGCCCCCTTGTCGCGCCCCTGCTGTGCCCAAAAGCCGAGCCCCGCTCCCCGCTCCGCCCTCGCAGTCTCCCCAAGTTCGTGGGCCGGCCCACCGGCCCCGGGCACACGAAGACCGAGTACGAGATCATCAAGGTCTCCGCCCTCAACCAGCTCGACGACGGCGCCGAGGTTGACTATGCGGCCCTGCTGGCGGCGCGTGCCGTCTCAAAGTCCAAGCGGAAGCTCAACAAGGTGGTGGGCGCCGCGGACAAGCTGACCGTCAAGAACCTGAAGGTTCGCGCGCACGCCTTCACCTCCTCCGCCCGCGCCGAGATCGAGGCGCTCGGCGGATCTTGCATCGAGCTCTCGCCCACGACTGGCGAGCCAGTGGCAGCGTGAGACGGCTGCGTGAGACGTTCGGCTGCGTGAGACGTCGCCGCGAGGGAGGTGGTGCAGAGGGGCGAGGCGGCGTCAACTCGCGGCTGGATTGGCCTCTAACACACACTTTGAGAGAGGCTCCTTTGCCCTGCCCCGCTGCCGCGCGCCCTATAAGCCGTATCCGTATGTGCCTTGGACATTTCTGATTTTTCACGATGTGCTGTGGTCGCCCACGTAACTTTACAATTTGCATCGAACACCACGCGTGACACGACATCAGGCGGGGCTGGGCGCTTGGTGGCTGGGGGGCGCGAAGAGATCGCTCCACCCACACACCGACCTGTGACACCCGCACCCCGTGTGTGACTGTGAGCTGCTCAGTGCTCAGCAGTGGCGAGTGGGCCACTGGCAGTGCTCCCCCCTGTGCGCCCTGAGCTGTGCGACGTGCGAGGCCCGGCTCCGAGGCGTATACGTGTGAGCGCCGGCGCCCGCACGCCAGGCTCGCGGGTCAGACGAGATGCTCTTGCGTTACTAGCTGTTCGGAGATCTCACAGTGGAGCGGGGCCGGCCGCCAGCGCTACGCGGCAGAAAGGAGGCTCACAGTCCGCGGCTTGGCCGGGCACAGAAAGGCGATGCAGTTGCGCGCGGCGCCTCGGTCGAATGGATTGACCAGCGCGCCGTTTGGGGATCGGAAATGCGCGTAGCGGCGCCGGTTGAGCCGCTCGTTTGTGGTGAGGTTGGCGAGGGCGTTCCGCGTCCTGTGGAGCCAGAAGCGAGCGAGCAGAAGGCAGGCGGGCGCCGCCACCGCCAGCGCGAGCCACAGCAGCGTCGTCGGCCGCCCGTCGCCTCTGTCCGGCGCCGGGTGCGGAGAAGGTTCGAGGAGGGCGTCGGCGGAGAGCGCGGCGACGGCTGCCGCGTCGGCGAGGAGGAGGGAGATGAAGAGGTAGAAGGAGGCGCGATTCCGCGCGCCGACGCAGTTGTTGATCCACGGGCAGTGGTGGTCAAAGTCGCAGACGCAGCGGCCGCACGCGCGGCAGTGCTTCGCCCGCAGCGGCCTCGGCTGCGCGCAAGCGTGGCAGTGCCTCGCGACAGCACCGCCGAGCATCGCCGTCGCGGCGCTTGCGGCCACAGGGGAGGCGGCAGGCGGGGAGGCGGCAGGCGGCGTGGCGGGCGGAGAGGCGGCGGGCGGAGGCGCGGCGGGCAGGCAGCCGTGTGTCGTCGGGAGGTAGCCTGGGTCTGAGCACGAGGCGGTGGCGCCGGAGAGGGCGACGAGCAGCAGCAGGCCCGCCGGCAGAGCCAGCCTCCAGGCGGCGGTGAGGGGAGGGGCGGGGCCGTGCAGAGGGGCGGGGCCCGCCCCTGGTGCGGCAGCGGCGCGCAGGCCGCAGGCGTACAGCACGTGCGCTCCGCCGATGGCCGTGCACAGCAGGGCCGGCATCAGGCGGCGGCGGCCGCAGCGCGTGTTTGCCCTCTGCTCGGCGGCGGCCTCTGCGCCCCTGAGCCACGAAGCGAGCTCCTCGGCGCCTAGCGGGGCCGGAGGCGGGGCGGGAGGCGGGGCGGGAGGCGGTGAGACGGGAGGCGGTGAGAGGGCCGCCACCAGTGCCAGCGCCGCGCCGCGCCCCTCTGCAGGGGAGAGGAGAGGCAGTGGAGAGAGGCAGAGAGAGGCAGGAGAAGAGAGAGGGAGAGAGGAGGGAGGACGAGGGGGAGAGAGGCTGAGCGGCTGAGGCGCAAAAGGAGAGAGAGGCAGAGGAGGGAGAGAGGCAGAGGGGCGTGAGAGGCAGGCCTAGCGACGACGCCACCGCGGCGGCGGTGCGGCGGTCTGAGTCGACGTCGCGCGCGTCGAGCGCCGCGAAGCGCACCAGCAGCTGCGCCACCGCCAGCTGCTCCTCCTCGGGCGGCGGTGGAGGCAGGTGGAGGCAGCGGAGCTCCTCTGCGTCGAGCGGCGCGACGGAGCCGTCTGTGGCGACCCGGTGCGGGACGACGGCCGCCTCGCGAGGCGAGTTTCCCAGCGCCACGTGATGCAGCGCCGACCGGCCCGCGTCGTCGCGCGCTCCGCTGCTGCGCGAAACCAGAAGCAGCCGCGAGAGGAAGGCGAGGTCGCCGGTCCGCGCGGCGAGGTGGACCGGCAGGAGGCCCGACGGCGAAGGTGCGTCGAGGTCAAGCTTCGCGTGCCGCAGCAGCCGCAGCGCGGCCGCCTTGTCGCCCGGCTCCGCCTCGGCGAGGCTCAGGTGGTGAGCCGCGCCGAGCCCATGCTGGTCGCACAGCCGGTCGGGCGAGGCGGCAGTCTCGAGGAGCAGCCGCAGCGCGGGCAGCGCGCAGGTGCGGCACGCGAGGAGGAGAGGTGGCAGCGTGTCGCCGCTCTGGTCGTCCATTTGAGGCTGTGGACGACCGGAGCCCCGGGGCGGCTGGCGCTGGGCTGACTCACAGCCCGCGCGTTCGAATTCTTTTACGTTTCAAGTATGTGAGATGTGTACGCCAACTCAGGGTGTGTGGCAGCCAGATGGCTGTGTGTCTTGTGAGCCTTTTGTGTCTGTGTGTCGCTCGTGCGTGTCGTCATCATCTGTCCAGCGTCCACCCATACCGCGTTGGTGTCCAGTCCGAGCCTGGCTGTTCTTCACCTTTCTACCTACCTACCTATGTGAGAGAGAGAGAGAGATGCGTGACCTAGTAGTGTCCCCAGCTATGGGCGTGTCCACGTTGGAGCCAGGTGTGGTGTGGACGCGAGAATAGCTCCGCCGTTCATGGAGGCAACCGATGCGAGTCGACTGGTGTGTGTCGTCGTGGTTTCGTATCAAGAATTCTCTCTCTCTCTCGTTTCAAGTATGTAGAGAGAGAGAGAGAGAGAGAGAGAGAGAGAGAGAGAGAGAGAGAGAGAGAGAGAGAGAGAGAACCCGAAGGCGGACTGCTGACGGGGTTTGCGATGATGAGCGATCCTAACGTGGCATTCGGGTGATCAGATCACCACCGCCGAAGAGCGCACGTAAATAAATAAATAAATACAACGGACATCCCAAGCTAGGGCTGGGTCGAGGACAGACACGTCCCCACCTTTGCAGGATTTTGCAAAAGCGAGGGGGGAGGGCGCATCGCCGCGCGGAGAGGGCTGGGCACAGGGCACAGGGGATCTCTCTCGCATAGGATACGCACTCGGCGGCACGAGGGCACGTGCCCTCCTCTTAAACGGCGCGCGCAATTCTTTTACTTGCGCCTTCAAGCAAGCAGCAGAGCCCCCATGTTGACATGCGCTCTCCTCTCGGCACAGGCCCTTGTCCCAGTCCAATCCTACCAGCTGCGCACGCCCTTCTCGATGCCTTGCGCGTCGCACCTCCGACCGCCGCCGCGCACGTTGCAGTGCCGACCCGTCCTCATGCAGGGGCAGCGGCGAGAGCTCGAGGTCGTGGCGCAACCGCTGGCGGCGCTGCGCTTTGCTGCAGGCCGCTTTGGCCTCGCTCTCGTGGGTGCCTCACGCGTGCTGGATGGCGCGGTAAACCTCGTCGCGACATGCGCGGCGTGGCTGGTGCGCGTGGCGTTCACGGCTCTCCTCCTCCCCGTCCTCGCGACCGCCTGGCTGCTGC